ATGGCCACACTATTTCATAGTACCACCAGCGGCGTACAAGAGTGCTCTCTCCATGGCCTCGGCTAAACATGTTACCTGGATTCATTTGGTTTTTATCACAGCCGTTCTAGTGCATGAGAAGTGATGTCTCCTTGCCAGTTTGAGTTGCATCTCCCTTTTGACAGGTGATGGTTGGCATCTTTTCATGTGCCTCTGGGCCATTTGTGTATCTTTTTGGAGAAATGTCTGTTCAGATCCTTTGTGCATTTGTAATTGGGTTGGTCCTTTGGTTCCTAAGTTTTTGTAAGAGCGTTTCATCTACTTTGACAGGAGACCATTATGAGATGTGCAACTTGGAAATGCTTTCTCCATCCTATAGATTATCTTTTCATATCTGTGATAATCATTTCACTTTAATGTCAGATGTTTTCAGTTTTGAGGAAGTCTACTTTATCTACTTTCTCCTTCATGGCTTGTACATTCAGTGTCATATCTAACAATCCATTGCCAAATCCAAGGTCAGAATGATACCACTATATTTCCTCCTATGGGCTTCAGTTCTTAGATTGAGGCCTTTGTTCTATTTTGAGTTAATCTGTGTGTGTGGTGTGAGGTAGGGGTCCATATCCTTCTTTTCCCTTGGATATACAGTAATCCCTCATCAATCACTGAAGAGACTGTTCTTATGCCCATTCTATAGTCTTGGTCCCTGGCTGAAAACCAATTGAACACAGAGGTGCAGGTTTATTTCTGGGCTCACCTTTCCCTCTGTCTTCATGCCAGTACCACGCTGCTTTGGGCTCTGTTCATTTGCCATCAGTTCTGAAATCAGGAGTGTGAGTCCTCCCCCTTTGTTGCTCTTTTCAGCCACGCTTTAACTACTTGGATCTCTTGCAATGCTGTGTTAGTTTGAAGGTGAGTTTCTCTATTTAAGCAAATTATAATATTAATGGCTGTTGGGACATGGATAGGGATGACATTGACTTTGTAGATTTCTTTGGGGCATGTCACCATCTTACAAATATAGTTTCCCCATCCATGAACACAAGGTGTCCTTCCCTTCATTTGGAGTCTTTAATGCATTTCAAAAACTTCTGTAGTTTTCTATGTACAAGTCCAGTCTCTTAGTTAAATTTATTCCTAATATTTGTTAGAGATTGTTGTGTCTATGTTCATAAGAAATATAGGTCTCTTGTTTTCTTGTGATGCCTTTATCTGTTTTTACATCAGAGTAAGATTAGCCTCAAGGAATTACTAGATGCCTCTTCTGTTGTTTGAAAGAGTTTAGAAACTATTCATGTTCATTCTTCCCAATATGGTTAGTGAAATTCAGCCATATTGAATCGGTGAAAATCTGATCTCACATGTTAATTTAGGAGTTTTTTCACTATTGATTCAATTTCTTTACCCATTATAAGTATCTTCAAATTTTCCACTTCTTCTTGAGTCACTTTTGGTAGTTTCTGTGTCCCTCAGAATGTGTCCATTTCATCATCAGTTATCTAATATGTGGGTGTACAATTATTCCTACTGTTACAATTTGTCATAATTCAGATTTCATATACATGTATGTATGCACACATATGTATCCACAACCTATATATATATATATATATATATCTAAAATTACAAAGAATTATATACATTCATGCATGTGTACACATGTGTGTATATATATACACATATACATGTGTGTGGATTAGTGAATTGGAAGTTACACATAGGTCCTTGATATATGTGATATACCCATGTACATATACAATATCTGTATACATATATATATTCCTAACATAACTCTTCTTCTTCCTGTGGCTCATAGAACTGTCCCTGGAGGTGCAGAAGCAAGGAATTTGCAATGTCACCTTGAGTCTGAATCAGGCAAAGATGCAGCTGAACTGGAATCTGGCACAGGAATCTTGTTACACAGGTAACATCTGAGATGGGGAGAAGGTGGA